AATAATTAAAATAATTAAAATAATTAAAATAATTAAAATAATTAAAATAATTAAAATAATTAAAATAATTAAAATAATTAAAATAATTAAAATAAATAAAAAAATAATATAAATATATATATTTAGGAAAGATATAGAAAGATTCTATATAATTTAATATTTAATAAATAAAATAACTGCTAAAGTATTAAGAACTATATATTTTTAATAAATTTAAAAAAAATCAATCTATATAAAATTGTTAATAATTAATATAATAAATATAAATCAAAAATAATTTTATAATAATTTTTACACCTGCCTTGCATAATTTTAATAATATAAATAATATTTTAATTAATAACCTGAAGAAGAAAGCCAGACTATTTTAAAAAATACTTTATTTAAAGTTAGTATTACTAATCTGATTAATATTATAAAATATTATTTATTATTATTATTATATGTATTATAAATTACTTTATTAAAAATCTAGAAAATTATATATCATATTATATTTCATAAGATACCTGGCCTGGATAGTATTCTAAATCTTATTTTATAATAAATATTATCTTAAATTAAATAAATATTATTAAAAATATTTAATATATATCTGGATTATAGATACTATCTTATCTATTTTTATATATTAATTATAATTATATGATATAAGCTAAATAAAGATAATTATATAAATTTATAAAATTATTATTTAATAATCTTATTAACCATAATCAGTAAGGCTTTTAAATCTATTATTATTATATATTTTAATTATTTAATAAAATATTATAAGCTTTTACTATAGAAATATATAAAAACTAATAAAAATATTTTTATAAAAATATATTATATCTTTTTCTAGAAAAAATCTATACTACTTAACAGAGTAAATATTTTATTATAATCTTTTTGATTCTTAATATATTTAGAATTTGTAATAATATCTTATATTAATACTTATTATATATTCTTCAAAAATACTAAATATTTTTAATATTTATTATTTAAATTTAATTTTTTTTTAATAATTAATATATAATTATTACTATGATGGAGAATATCTCTAAAAAATATTAAATTATATTTAATATTTTATAAGATTTTTTATTATATTCTAAATTTTATTTATTTATAATACTGATTTGTTTAATAATAATAATAGGAATTTTTTATAATAAAATATATAAATAATATTTATATCTTTACCTGGGATCTTATTATCTAAGATAATTATTTTCATTTTTAATATATATATATACCGAGCAGTAAAAATGAATATATATACTTGAATTCATAGGTATTAAATATAATCTGATCTACTTAATAAAATAATATAAAAATATATTATTTATTCATAATTCTTATATCATGGAACTTAATTGACTGTTTTTTTTATAAAATATTAGAATTAAATTTATAAAATCTCTTTATTATTTTAATATTTACTTTAACTCTAATTTATCAAGGAGAATCTATTTAAAATAATTATAAATTAAAATAATTAACTTAATTTTTATTTCATTCTTAATTATTAGTTTAACACGGAAAGTATTTATCTTAAATCTTTAATATATATATATTATAATTCTAATCTTTTAACTCCTGTACAACTGCTTTATATAATTTATGTAAAATATAGAAAATTATTAAAAAACAGTATTTAATATTATTAAAATTATAGAAAATATTCAGTACTGTATATTTTATTAAATTATTAAAAATATTTTATATAATATCCTGTGTAGTCCTTAAAATTTATTTTTATACTATATTTTTTTATCTTATTTCTTAAATAAGCTACTAAAAACAGCTGCCCGTAAATTCTTAATTATTTTATTAAATATTTTATAATATATAACTAATAATTGTTGGCAGACTAGGCGGTGTAGGACACCTGGCCCTAGCAGTTCAACCCAAACCAACCACCATGCCGGGTGCCCTAACCCTGTATCATAAATTAGGATCTAGCCTCACTTACCTCCTGTATTAGCTATATAAGGTACCTGCAATAATTAAATAGAACTAGACAAGTAATATAACTAACTAACCTTATTAATTGATTAATATAATCCATAGAATCAATACAATTTTCAACAAATAATAAGTCTAGAATTACTTAAATAAAATACCATATAATCCACTAAGATACCAGAACTACTAATTATTAAAATAATTAAATAATCAACACACACCTTAATATTACTTGTATAAAAATCTCTCAAAATCTTCAAATAACAGTACTAGAATCTTTTACAAGTACTTTATTTCTTACTAAAATATAATTATTAGAAAAATTAATAAAAAAATATTGTCACTAACTATTCCCGTAATATAAGCAGCCTGAGTAACTACCTTAATAATTACTCAAGATATTATTTTCTCTGATAATTTATCTAATAAAAATAACTCTGAAATAGTCTATATATGTAGAGGATCCTTAATCCTTATATAAAAAAAATTCTCTAGATTTTATTATTAAATTACTTATTTATATCCTGAGATAAGACCTTTTATATTATAAAATATTAAATAATAAATCTATTCTTGTATAAATTGAGAAGTTTAAAAAACTTAATAATTATAAAAAATAATATAAAATTATTTATAATACTTTGTATACAGAAAGAATCTAGCGTCTTTTAATTAATTGAAATAAAATAAATTTTATTTAATTTTAATACTATATTATATATATAAAATAATTTTATACTTGAACTTATTAAAGCATATACTAACTGGGAGAAACTAGACTAAAAAATTTAAGATATTTTAGAAATATTAATATATAATAATACAATATTTAATTTAATAAATAACATAGACTACCAGAATGAATATAAATATCTTAAAATAAACTAATAAGCAAAAGAAAGCTCTCTGCTAAAAAATCTAATAAAAAAATTACTTTTTCTGTAATTAAATAACTTCAAATTAATTATTAATTATATAAATAAATTTATAATAATCTAATAATATTTTTTATTATTAAATTATCAGTAAAAATTAATTTCTGGGTGATTAATGTTCTCTTCTTAAAAAAACTAACTAATATATATGAAATTTTTTATTTATTATTATAGCAAGATAAGCAGATAACAGAAAACTATAAAATCTTACTAAATAAAAATTTAATAATAATTTTTTAAAATATAACTTTATATATTACCACTGTAACCGGCTTTATTAAAAAATAGTTTAATATAATTTAAGTATTACTAGCCTAAAACAGTACTCTTTCTTAAAAATAATCTTACTGTAACTTCTGCAAGCAAGTTAAATATTAAAAACTAAATTACTAAAAAAAGTAGGAAAAAATTAATAAAAAAAATAATAATTCTTACCTAAAAAAATTAAGATACAAGCAGCAGACAGGCTCCTAGAAAAATATATTTAATAATTAATTTATATTAAAACTAAATTTTATAAATTCTTAAATATAGCTTTCCTTACTATACTTCCAGAAACTTATTTACTAAAAGATACTGAAAATTTTTTATTTTTAATATTTAGACTCAAACACTTTATAACACATATCTTATAACTAGAATAAATTTTTTAATTATAATATCAGATATCCCCTATATCCACGCAACCGGGAGTGAAAAATTATCTATATATAATAAAATTATTTTTTTATTAAATATATTCTATAACAGATATCTATAATAAATCTTAATATAGAATATTTTATAAATTCCGATCCTGAGTATAAATCTTTTATTAGCTAATATATTAAATAAATAATATTACTTAACTATCTTTATAAAAGTAAAAAACTGATAGTATTTAAAATAAAAATATTATTATTACTACTACTTACAGTAAAAGACTTTACCAGTTTAATCTTATTATTTTGATTATTTTTAAATTATATATAGTTCTTCTTAGTATTACCCCCGGTATGAATAACAGTGCTGGTATATATAATTATTTGAAAAAAAAATAAAATATTTATGAATTTCTAGTATAAATAATTAAAATATATAAATTATAATAATATTCTATAAGCAGCAGATTTAATAAATAAATTATATTTAATATTATAAATTAATACCCCCTGCAAGCCTTGCCTGCGCGTAAAATTATATAAAAAATAATTTACTATTTTATTATGATATATTAATATATTAATTAAGAATATGTATATTAATATTAATTTTCTTCCTGTTAAAGGCACCTTCAGTAAAACCTGTTATATAATATTAATTAATAATAATATACAGGTTATATAGCTTATTCTACTGTAAATTAAGAAAAATATATTTTAAATCTTCAAAAATTAATGTATATAAATTATTTAATAATACAGTACCTATAGGCATCACCCGCATCAGGAGTGATAATAAAAAGAATATATTAATTAAAAATAAAAAAATAAATTTAATAAATAAAAATTTATTGTATAAACTGATTACCCTTTATAATCAT